GTTTTCTCAAACGCGTCCCTGTCAGGCTGGGGAGTAACGTGCCTGTCACGGGCGTTGGGGGCGCTATGACCAGCTCACACATCAGCTCACATAAATGTTTTGGAATGTCTCACGGTTTTGAATGTGATCCAACATTTTGCTCCTGTGTTACAGAATCGGCATGTTCTGATTCACACAGACAACAAAGTAACTGCTGCTTACATAAACTGGCTAAACTGGCAGGGGGGCGTGCGCTCAGCCCAAATGTTACACATTGCGAGACAGCTGCTGTGTTGGGCACACAAAAACCTGCTCTCCATCAGAGCAGTGTACATCTCAAGCATCCTGAACAGAGGAGCGGACATAATATCCAGGGGCGGTCTGCGCCACGGGGACTGGAGTCTCCATCCCGAGCTGATTTCTTGGATTTGAGAGAAATTTGGCAGAGCAGAAGTGGATCTATTTGCCACACGGGAGAATGCCCAGTGTCAACTATGGCTCTCACTGAGCCCACGGGACGATCCACCGTTAGGAGTGGACGCGTTTGCCCACAGTCCGTAGCCAAAAATGCTCCTTTACGCTTTTCCCCCAGTCCCTCTAATATCACGGTTTCTGAACCGAGTTCAGGAGGAAGAACTCTCTGCCATTCTGATAGCCCCTGAGCGCGTGAGCGCCCCGTGGTTTCCAATCCTGCGACGTCTGTTATCGGGTCGTCCGTGGAAACTGCTGTGGAGGGACGATGCTCTCCTCCAGGCGGGAGGAGCGATCAGGAGTCACCCAGAAATAGGACAGCACCTTTGGGTCTGGCCGCTGAGCGGATCCACTTAGAGAAGATGGGTCTCTCTCAAGAAGTAGTGCGCACAATCCAGGATTCACGCACTGCCTCCACCACAGCGCTGTACACATCAAAGTGGACAGCTTTTCAATGCTGGTGTACGGAAAAAGGTGTAGAGGCCATCTCATGTCCACTAGGTGGCGTGCTGTCCTTTCTGCAGCAGCTGATGGACAGAAATCTGGCGTTCAGCACAATTAAAACGTATGCTGCAGCCATCTCTTCCTGTCACGAAGGCTTCGGTGACAGAACAGTTTTTAATCACCTGCTGATGAAGCGTTTTCTAAAAGGTGTACGGAGACACAGACTTGTGTCACGCCCATTAACTTCTCAGTGGGACTTAACGATGGTTCTGCAGGCCCTGATCAAAGCTCCTTTTGAGCCGTTAGGTCAGGTTTTGATTAAATTCTTGTCACTTAAAACAGCCCTGTTGTTGGCTTTGACATCTGCAAAGAGAGAGAGTGATTTATCTGCCTTCTCTGTTTTTTTGTCATGCCTCAGGATTCAGGCTGATGGCAGTTCAGCTGATCTGAGACCTAACCCAGCATTCATGCCTAAAAACATCACAAGCTCATTTAAATCGAGAATGATAACGTTGGAGGGTATTTCCCTCCTCCCCTCAAATCAGAAGAAGAAGCATCTTTTCATCTCCTCTGCCCTGTGCGTGCGTTGGCATGTTACGTAGCACGCACGGCCACACTTCGTCAGACTCAACATTTGTTTGTGCATTATAGAGACGCTTCTGCAGGTCGCCCGTTATCCACCCAGCGCCTGTCACACTGGCTGTGTGAGGCCATTTCTGAAGCTTACAGAGCATCAGATTTAGAGCCCCCTGACAACCTCAGGGCGCACTCGACCAGAGGAATCGCATCCTCGACAGCCTTGCATAATGGTATGACAATGCAGGATATTTGCACTGCGGTCGCATGGTCATAGCCCTGCTCATTTATTCGCTTCTATCTGCGTTATGTGTCGGCTTGCTCCATGACGGATTCTGTCCTTGGTGCCTTAACAGAATGAATATTGTTGTTTTCATGGAACTTCGTTTAAACTCACATCTGACTGCATGCAATTACAGTGTGAGATATTTATCAGTCACAAGTTTGTGACTGTTAGTTTTGTTCTAATGCCACTAATCAGTTCATGACTACTGTTACCAATCAGTTAATTTGATTACTAATCAGTTCATTTATTATGAATCTGTTCACTGTTTTTTCAGCCTCTCCCCCTTTCCCGTCGAGAACTTTTCTCTCTGGGGCACACGTGTACACGGAACGTGTAAATTACACTGCGCGCATCTGTACATGGTGCGCGTAATTACGCAGCACGTATTTACACACATGGAGGGCTGAGTGATAAAATGTTTTTTGGTGCAAGCGGGTGCTTCATACGGTGTTCGAATGGACCCAGTGAGGCAGAGACTACATTCTGCTTCGCCTTTAACCCACCAGCGACAGCCTTAAACGGCGAAGCCTATACGAAATGGAACATTGGTTACGTACTGTAACCCCAGATTCTATGAGTATAGGCGTAGCCCTTTAAGCTCTGGGCCTCACTGGCTCCTAAATGGCTGAAGAAAAAATGCTATTTGGGAGCCGATTACCCGCTCTCAATGTCATTTATACGGACTGGGTGGGGCCCACATGACAGGTGGGCGTGGACTAAATTTGTCAGTGCAACGCTTTGCGTGACGGGATAAAACCCACCAGCGACAGCCTTAAAGGGCTACGCCTATACTCATAGAATCTGGGGTTACAGTACATAACCAACGGTTCTGTCCCGGCCCATGGATCAAGTCTTTACCCTGCCCATCCAGTCTACATGCGTTTTGTGGACATAGAGAAGACCACAAAACATACATTATGGGACTGGGAGCCCGTTGCTACGGGGCCGTTCAGTCCTTATACAAATTGTGCGAGAGTAGGGCATTAACAGAGTACTCGAGTAATCTACACATCGATTGTTAGGACATCTATCGAGGTTAAAAATGTAACGTTGAGTAACCGTAGTGACGTCATATTATGTGACCACCGTATGACCGTAGGGGGCGGTGTTGCACTGTTGCAGGTCAGAGTTTAGTATAACACCGTGTCCAATCCACCGCCCATCCACTTTTTTAAGTTTCGTTTTTGACGTGCTGCGTTTCTTCACGTTTGCAATTTAATAATAATAACTAATAGTTTAGTTTTTCCTGTGACTTATTTGCAGTATGATAAATGGTAGGAGCATAATATACACTCCCAATGTTTTGTTGGTCTTTTTTTTTGTAAATAATGACCTTTTATTGCGGTTTTATTTATTTACTTATTTTTGTATCTTGAGATCTATGACGTCATCAAATACTCGAGTTCTACTCGTGTTTTGTTATGTTAATGTCGAGTTTAAAAATTATATACTCGTTCAACCCCTATGCGAGAGTTTGGTTCACATTGTGGCAGGAAGTCAGACCCCTTCAGGGTGGGAGTTGGACTTCCCCAGAGCTGCCCACTATCATTGATTCTGTTCACAACTTTTATGATCATAATTTCTCAGTGCAGCCAGAGGGCAGAAGGATTTTGGATCAGTGACCTCAGAATTCCATCTCTGCTGTTTGTGAATGAACTGATTGTGTTGGCGTCATTGCATTGTGATCTTCAACTCTCTCTGGATTGGTTTGCAGAGAGTGTGAGGTGGCTGAAATGAGAATCAGCATCTCAAAATCTGATGTGCTCACTTGGAAATGGTGGATTGCTCTCTCCGGGTTGGGAGTGAGGAGCTTCTTTATTTTATTTTTTTTTCCATTTAGCCTTTATTTATACAGGTAGTCTCTTTGAGCCACAAGAACTCATTTTCAAGAGAGACCTGTTTAGGGAGCACATGGTGGGGTTAGGGGCCTTGCTCATGGGCCCAGGGTGGGGCGAATGAGGGTGGGGGCAAGTGTGGGTGTTTTACCTACCCCACCCACAATTTTGATGTTGCCGGGGCTTTAAGTGGAAAAGTTCAAGTATTAGGGTTTTGTTCATGAGTGAGGGAAGAATGCAACGTGAGATTGATAAATGGATGTGTGCCAGTCTGTTGTGGTGGGGAGAGAGCTGAGCTACAAGGCAAAGCTCTCAGTTTACCAGTCTGTCTACGTTCATATCCTCACCTGTTGTCACAATCTCTGAGTAGTGACCAACTCTGTGTTAGCTGCCCACTGCTCCACCTGGGTGCATCTCAGTTGTGATGGGTTAAATGCAGAGAACTAATGTCATCATTGTATGGGAACGTACAGTGATGACAACACATAGCACTTTAAACTCTGGGTAATGAACAAAAGAACGAGCTCTCAGATACTGACAGTCAAAAGGAGGCATCTGTTGTCTAGTCTACAATTCAGGGGTGTGTGCAGCGTTATGATCAGGGGGTGCCGTTCTCACCAACATTATGTGGTCAAAATAATGTCATATGTTGACTTAAAGTCAATTCAACTTTTATTTATACAGGTTAGTCTCATTGAGCCTCGAGGACTCTTTTACGAGAGAGACCTGTTAAAGGCCTGTTAAACTTTTCTATTGGTGTGTATATTTTTTCTTCTCTGATGACAGGTATGTTTGAAGATGACAAAGCCAGGATTTAATGTTTTTTTTAAGTTGTGAAGGTTTCGCACCACTCACTTGAACAGAGCTACCCCCGCACATTTTTCTTTTGACAAATCTTGGGATGTACTAGACAAAATTGTATGCAGAGATGAGACAAATCATACATAAAGGTCTAGAGATCCTGATGCTGCTCAATAATCCAGGTAGAAAAATCTAACAGTTAAGTCAGGTCCTCTGGACAGATTAAAAAAACAAACTTGTTGAAACGTTTAGTCAGTCTAAGGAGCTGCACTGAACTTAAACGGCACCTTCTCATAGTGGATCAACCAAAACCAGCTGTTCACATGATAAAGGAGGACCATCAGCCTAACGACCCATCGTTGGTGCCCTGATGGCTGTTTGCTGTTCAGATGGATGAGTGATACTAACAGCATTGTAAGAAGGGGACAGTTGTGCCTCCATGTCCAGTTGTCCCCCTCTTACAATGCTGTTATTGCTGGTATCACTCCTCCCTCTGTGAATGTTTTGTTTTCTTGAAAAGATTCAATTTAAAAAAAAAGAAACGTGTTTCTAAATGCTGAATAAGTGAAATAAACTGCAGCCCCTGTTGTGCTTCATCCTCCCCCCAGGTGCATCATAACGGGCATGGCTTCTGGAAGCATTGTGCTCTTCTACAACGACTTCAACAAGTGGCACCACGAGTACCAGACCAGATACTGAACTGAAAACTGCAGCAACGTTGAGAAAAAGATCTCAAGTCTCACAAGCGTGAACTCTTCTCAAAGGCACTGTTCTGTCTATAACCTCAAGTCTTGAAGGTTTTTCAATAAAAAGAGAAAAACAAACGTCTGTCCCGTTAAAGCATCAACTATTTTTTGAAAAAAGGCATTGCTATTTTTTGTAGATCCGATAGAACATTTTCCTATAAATCTTAAGGAGGGGGTGGGGGGGGGGGGTTACTTATGGCTTTAAACAAATTTATTTTTAGCATTAAAAATCTATTTTCATCTCCAGAAAAACAGAGTGAAAGGTTTGGGAAGTAAAGTTTTAAAAATTCCAAATATTTGTGTTCTTTAAGATGAGCAAGTATTTTATTTTTCTTGTAGGTGTGTTTGTGGGGAAAATTAAGTTTATAGTCACTTTTTTTCTTCTTTTTTTTGGCATCACAGCAGATAAAATGTTTCGATTAAATTAGATGTATTAAACAAAAGTAAAGGAGAAAACTTAAATATCTAAAAACAATCATGTTTCAATATAATCATCTTCGCTTGCTTTAACTCCTAACATTTTATTTAATAATGTAAAAACATCAAAAACACCATTTCCCTGCATATGATAGAAATCTGCTTTAGTTCAACAATACATTTTTTCACATTTTATTCTAAATGACTAAGTTATATTTCTATCAAATAAACTGTTGTCCGAGCCAGAATCAGTCCTCTGAGTCTCCAAAGCAGCTAAGAGCAACATGAGTTGTGCATTGAAACAAAGGACTTTTCCATTCTGACAGTTTATTTTTTATTTGCTGTCAAAATTATAAGTGATTATGATCAAATGTGATCCAGCTTCAAATTCTAACATGTTTCCTCTACGATTTGTGAGAAATCATTTCTTTAACATTGTTTTGGTTTGTTGCAGTTTAAATTATAAGGGAATTTCTTTCATCTCTCTATTATTTGTTGTTCAATCATTTGGAGTGTTTTGTTTGTTGAGTTCTGACAATAAAAAGGACTTTTATAACTTGAACTGGCCTTAATTTGCATTTGCTTCCAGGGATTACACTGCCCCTAGCGGTCAATTATTGTTATTACACATGTTCACAGAAAAAGCAGGTTCTATTTCGTATAGGCTTCGCCCTTTAAGGCCTTCGCTTAGTGGGTTTATCCTGTTATGCAGAGCATAAGCACTGAAAAATTTAGTCCACGTCCACCTGCTGTGTGGGCCCCACCCGGTCCGTATAAATTACGTTAAGAGCGGGAAATTGGCTCCCATTTTTCTTCAGCGAGCTAAAATAGCACTGTCAGAAGAACAAAGAAGGAAAATTGTGTAAATGACCAAGCGGGGCTATCCCTCGGTAACCCCCCTTGAGCCAAGCCTCGCGGAAGCTTCGGAGCGAAGCTGTCCAGGTTGGGGCAGCGTCCCGTCCCTCCTGGGAAACACGACCAGATGGTGACCACGCTCTCCAATCGAGCCCATCAATGTGCTTTTCAGGCAGCCGCAGCTAGCAACAACGTGGCGCTGCTAGCTTTAGCATGTGGGAGCTGGAGGCCGCAGACCTGCCTTAGGAGACCAAGAGCTCCCTCTGTAAGGCAGCCGACGCCATCCTCACTGTGTGCCTCTTCTACGGTTTGCCTGTCCAGGATTGCAGCATGGATGACGATGATTCAACATCCACCTAGCTCCATCACTCCCCCTCGCTGCCGGAGAAACTGCACAAAGACCTGATGGAGGGCCCCATCACGGCGGACGCGCTGTTCGGGAGCAGCTCCAAAACCACGCTGGCGAACTCTAAGCAGTCGGAGGAGGTGCCAGAGGCCGTGCGCCACCTCAAGCCGCGCAGCTCATCCGGCCATGGCGGCGGCGTCTTGCTCAGCTCCACCACCAGCCCCGCCCGTCAGAATCCAGCCCTCTTCATCCCGGCAACCTGCAGTTCAGCGTTTCCCCAGAGATCGCCTGCAAGACAGCGCTCTGGGCAAACAAATCGCAGACCTCAAAGGGGAGAAGTTTTTTAAAAAATGACGGTCTACGGAGGGTGTGTGTAAAAGTGACACGAAAGTTGAAATAAATCTTCAATGATCGAAGTGTCTGTTTTTAGCCAGTCTGTAAGCTCGGATGAACTCACAGCGGCTGTGCACACATCCTCCACACATAATGAGCCGGTGTCCTTTAATAAAGGTTTTTTAAACTCACCGCCGCTCCAAGACATGACGAGTCGATCACGACACAATGGTAAGCGAAATAACTCGTCAATCCGAGCTGCACGATCCTCACCCAAGCAGTGTCAAACGCACACTCGTGCGATGAAAACAGTCTTCATCCAACGGCGCTGCGTTGATGATGGCGCGCACACATAGCTGCCCGGCGCTCACCGGCTCACATCGGTATAAATGTGGGACCGCAGGCCGGGTCGGGTGGAGGTCCTCGCTCTCAGAAGAGCAACACACGCCTCACCGAAGCAAATGCGAGCAGCCGTCACCCATCGCGTCTCAGCACTCGGCAGCTCACGGCAACATAAGCGTGAGACAGCTGAACGAACCCGGTGACGAGTCCCACCTCCAGCGAGAGCGGCGCACGTCCCTCCAGCGAGAGCGGCGCGCGTCCCTCCAGAGAAAACGTGTGCGCCCGCGGGGCTCGCAGCCTTCACTCCAACAGCATGGTGTAGATGAAGTCACGCCCTCCGCCTCAACGTTCGCACAGCGACGTTGAATGCGCAGCCCCACGGCGTCATCAGCTGTCATACGCTTCGCCTCAGCACACACCGGCCCACCTGTACATGAAGGTTGGTCCGCGGTCCGAACGCAGCGCACGGGCGCGTTCAGAGCCTTTTTCGAGGAAGCCTCATCTTGGGTCACGCGGAAGACATTCCCGCGATGCATGACAGCGGTTGAGGGGCGGACTGGTGACAGCCGTACAAAACATGATGCATCACTTAAACGCACGTTCACTCCACGAACATTACGTAGAGTGGCTAAAACATGCTCGCCGGTCAGATGGATGGACAGGGGGTTATGCAAATGGTTACAAGTTACAGTTTGCAACCCGACCCCCTCCGTTCGGAGGAGTTATAGAGACGGTCCTGTCAGCACCACAACAAATCTCATCCCTAAATGCAGAAGTCCAAGTGCTTCTGATAAAAGTAATCTCCAGGGTTCCCAACGGAGAGGAAAACACAGGGTTTTACTCACATTTCTTCCTGGTTCCCAAACGGATCGGAGGGATGAGACCGATTTTTGATCTGTCAGTTTCAACAAGGCGATCATGGACAGACCGTTTTTTCAC